AATCTCTCCAAATTGATCAGAAACAGGAAGTCCGCAAAGGAATTTGCAAGTCCGAGAAAAAAACAAGTATGAAAGGAGCCTTTGAGAATTTGAAGGTGGCATCACAAAAGTCAAATTAATTATTTGTTTCTGATACACAGCTTTCCAAAAGCTTTTAATGACTAGGAATGAATGAACAAGGACCTGCTTGAAACATTTTAGAAAAAAGATCGTGAATAAGGACCAAGTCATTAGGATTTAATAGTACTTTTTATCACCAACCGCACAGCATGAAGTTGAAGAATAGTAATGTCTCAAAAAATCTTGACAAGTCCCTGAAGGAGTCAGCACCTAAGCACAGAGCATGACTCAAAGCAGCATTATTTTCAGGCTTCAGACAGGTCCTTCAAGGGCATGTTTTTTTGGTTTTAGCATCAAAAAAAAGCAGAACGCTGGCTGCAGATCCCAAAAGATTTCAATTCTGACAAGATCCTTGTGGACAGAGCAGAAGATGGAATTTAATGCCACTTAATGCATGCCAAATAAATCCGGAAAGGATTTCCAACCCTAATTTTAAGATAGCTTCTGATTCCTTCAGAAAGTTCTGGAAGTGTAGACAGCTCACTGAGAACATCATGCCAAGCTATCAAATGTAAACACACTTACTGGTTAAGGAAAACAAGAATGAACATTTAAAAATTAGTCTATCCTGAATACTACCTATTAACATTGAACCTGAGAGAAGCAATATTTAGAAGTCCTGCACAGGGCAGATATAAAACCACAATCACATAACGCAAGACCAAATAGACTAAAACCTAGTCCTTGAGCATGACTGCAGGGGACACAGGTCTATATAACAACTCACAAGACTTGCAGGAAAATGATTCATTGTTTCTCATAGCAGAATCTAGACAGTTGTCAGACAGGTTTAATATAATGAAGAGAAAATGCTCCTGTATACCCTTCAAATTCAGTTTTGTCTTTTAATAAAATGCAAGTCCAGAGAAAAAGAAGCAGACTTAAGTAAGCCTAGCAGGCCACTAACAGAGGAAATCACTACTCACTCTTCAGTGCATGTTTACACAAAGATAACAACTCAATGGGGGATAAATCTGACTCTGTGTGTGTGTATACATATACATGTTTGGTCCTAAATCCACACTAACTCACTTTCCTGTGTAGGCAGTGGGGAGCACCCGACAGCTACTTCTGACTGTATTTTGTATTCTTGCTTGTGCATTCTAAGGAAAATTGGCTACTAATACAAAGCATTTAATCATTTTATGTAAAGACCTACCACTGAGGAAAATGTTTTTAATGTTTACTGAGGCATAAGCAACTGAAAAGCACATACAAGCTTCCAATTAGTCAATATTGAACTTGCTCTTCAAGGACTTTCCCGCTGATTGTGCTTTACATGGAATACTGCAACATTTTCCTTTTTGCTCATTTAAAATATGCAAGTAATGGGATTCTTGTTCTTTACAGCTTGAGGTAATCCTTTTGTAAAGAACATGCAACACATCCAGCCTAATGAAATAACTCAGGAGTTGGATGGTTGATCTTAGTGCTTTTGTGTTATAAAATAATTCAGAAAATCCAGACATTAAGAATAAAATATTGTGGGCCACTTTCAATGGATTTGTAAATTTAAGATTAATCTTATCAAGTTTGCACACAGCAAGAGAATATTTCTGTGTGGCAGCACAGAAGTGTTTACATCCATGAAACAAAGCCTTCACACAGGAAGTACCTCAACAAGAAACCTTCAGAACACACAAAATTCTGGTAGCATACTCACATTTTATTTCAATTGTTCCACAAAGACAGTAATAAATTACAAAAGTTTTTGTTAAGAAACCTCTTTCGACAAATGGTAAAGTTCCTGTTTAAATATGATCATTGAAGACATGTAGTTTTAGACATTGCTTATCTCAATTCCACTTCCAAGATGATACATTGAAGGTGATAAGTGGAGTCATCTCATATGAAGTCAGAAATCAGCCACTCAGAAGATCACAAGCTGAGGTTTAATATCAGTTCAAGTCCCTGGCACATTCTAGTTTCCTCCCTGTAAGAGAAGTTCTATTTAATTTGCAGTTGGCATCATGCACACAGGAAAGGGGTGACTGCCCTATAAAGTTGAGCTATATGAACCTTCTACATGACACTAACTTTTAAGTCAGAGCCATTTTTCAATATGAATTACTTCCTTTGTACAGGAAGGGATTTTCTTTTCACATACCATTAGTATGGATTCCATTCCAGAGGACCAGCCTTATTGGAATAAATACATCCAATAACTACCCAAAGCTTTCCTTAGATTTTTTTGCTATTTAGATTGGCTAAATCTATTAAAGTTTTAACAGTTACCACACAGGTTTTCCATTAGTTCAAACTATTTTGTTTTGTTTTCCAGTGAGGAATAAATTAAAACTCCTTTAGATATAGAAGGCAATGCATTCACTAACATCTGACAATCCTTTTCACATTACATACCTGGAGATCAAACAATTTACAAGAAACTCTTCATTCAAGACATTCATTGCACAGGTTCACAAAGAACCAGATTTGAGAAACCTGAAAAAGATTTACACAAAATTGATATTAAGACTCAGGTAATATAACCAAATACATTTCAAAATCTTCCTACAAGCTATTAACAAAGTTGATTTAGTAGCTTCATGAAGTTTAGTAGTTTCATAAATGTGTTCCTCCCAAGCATGATCCAAAGAAGGGTTTCAACCTCACCTCTGGGTTTGCAGGAGAACTCTTATACCCCTCTGTGTTGGCCACTTAAGACACTGTCAGACTTAAGAGGGCAAAGCATAAAAGGGGAATAGATTACACTATACTATATTGGTTTCTTATTAAATAAGATGATCTGAATTTACCATTTACTCAAAAGAGATATTACAATTTGCTTGAAATTTGTGAATTATCAAAGAGCAAGATTTAAAATTATCTGCAATTGTCATTAAACTAGAGCACACTTACCTTCCAGTAGAAGGTATTATTTATTCCTAAGAAGCCCTGAGCATTGCTTCACATTTAGGTCTGATTATCCATGTCTAGAATGTTTCTTGCATGATGTTGCTAAGTCGGGCCTCTAAACAACACACAAAAAAATTAATAAGATTATAGTAAAATTATTAGTGCTTAATTAGACTTTCTCAAAGCCATATTATATGGAGTTGCTACTATGTTGGGTTAGACTTTTACAGTAATTTTCTACAAAGTTGTAGAGGTTGTTTACATGAAGCTTATTATCAAATCAAAAGTAATCAGTTTTTTAATCTGTCAAGTTGTTTTCATTAGCCTGTTTAAAATACATAAAATGTATTTTTAATATCTTTTAAAATATACTACTAATCAGAAACAATGGAAAATTTATTAAGCCCAAATTCCTTTTTGTGCTGACGCTACCCCGAGGCTATAAATGACCAGAGTAGACTGTCTTCATCAGCGAATTCATTGCTACCCTGTGTCTACTTACACATATATATATATATATATACACAGCTTGTAACAAGTTATACACAGAGCTCAACCAAGAGGTATCAAAAGACACTGTTACAGATGTACTAGAAGACTGGAAAGAAAGCCCAAGCAATCAGGGACTTCTTTGTTTGAAGCTATTATCATTAGAGTCCAAGTGCCTACAGCATTTAGTACTCTAAACACTGCAGGGCCTAAGTGTAATATTCTTGATGCACCCTATAAAAATACAAAACTACTGCAGTGAATTCAGATTCAGGGTCTGTGCAGCTCAATACCTGCAATTCAAAGAACAGAAGGGTGCAAATGCACACAAACACTTTCTTGTCTCAGAGATACAGGGCAGCATCCCCATAAATAAGTTTGTCTTTAAAAAGCATCGGGATTTAAAGCCTATTGAGGTCAGAAGCCTTTTCTAACCAACCCCAGGCTGTAGGAGAGCAATGAGGTCGGTGTGCCCCTCACCCATGGGCGTCCAAATGCGTGGCCACACATCTCCAGCGCTTCCCCGGGCCCAGATCCGCCGCGCCCGGCCTCCTGCCCGCCGGGGACATTGTAAGGACTCGCCGGTACCTCGGGACACACTGCGGAGGGAGAGAAGCGTCAGCCTGGGACAGTGAGGGGGCCGCGGAGAGGGCGAGAGGGGCTGCTTGTGCCTCACGACAGGATGCAGGGCGGAGAGGAGGGCTCCGCACTGGGTTTTTGTGAGGGAGAGCTGCTCTATCCCCCTGTGTTGACTCGCCGGAGCACTGCCAGGCTCCGAGAGGGCAAGATGTGAAGGGAAGGTGGTGCAGGTCCCGCACCCCCCTGCTCCCCTCCCGCCCTCCCCCAGCCCGTCCTTGTGGAGTGAGCGGCCATTGCGACCCTACCGCTCCCGAGGCCTGCAGGGACAGAGAGAGCGCCGCTCCCCACGTGGCCTAAATACCGCCCCGCGCTCCCGCGAGACCCCGCGGGCGCACACCTCCGCTGTCTATTGGCGGGGCTGACGCGCGTGACCCCGCGCGCGGCGGGGCGGTGCCGGTGAAGCCCGCAGCTCGGAGCCCGGAGGGCAGAGCGCCCCGCGGGGCGGGGTGAGGGGGCCGCCGTGAGGGGGCCGCCCGCTTCCGCCTCTGCCAGGAGCGCTCCGGTCGCTCAGCCGCGCTCCCCACGGCGCTCAGTCGGGCGAAGCCCTAACGGGTCATAACGGGGCTTTCGTCGGGACATGATCGTCCGCCCCTGCCCGGGCCGAGCTCTGCGTGCTCGGAGGTCTCTAGCACAGGAAAACAAAAGCGTGGTCGGTGAGAAGTAGCAGCTGTGTAGCGGTTTTGAGGCAATAAATACGGCTGATCTCTGTCTAAACTCCCGTCTAAGCCCTGCTTAGGAGGCTTAAGAGCTCTCTGTGAGGATGGCGAGGTAAAGCCTCGAGCCTCGCTAATGCCCCTGGCAGAGCAGAAGCAGCTCGCTCCGGGGCTGCAGGTCACGGGTGACACGGTGGCACCAGGCCTGTCCTGCAAGTGCAGAGGACTGCTGCTCTGCCCCAGCTAAAATGGGCTGCCTGGCTGGGGATGCTGCTGAGAGGGCTTGGGGTGAGTATGAGCAGATGAGCATGAACTGGGAATTAGTAATTTGTAACACAGAGACTTCATATAGAATGATAGAATATACTGAATTGGAAAGGACTCATCAGGATCATCAAGTCCAACCCCTGACCTTGTGCAGGACACCCCAAGGTGTGTGCCTGAGAGTGTTGTCCAAACCGAATTGAATGAAAGTCCCTGCTTCACAAAAAAGTGTATGTATTGCTGAAAAAGGTGTATATATTGATGATAATTCATAGATTCCTGTCTTGGTGAGAAACCGAGATGTCTTGGCTCACGCCGAGTTCCTATCAGCACAGCTCCTCTAAGTGTGTGGAAAGAAAGTAACAGACGGCCCACTGTCTTTAATCCGGACCCTGCATTTAAACTACCCTCAGCAGATCTAAACCAACATGATTCATCCTGAAACAAACAGTCACATAGTTGCAACCAAGGGATGGTTCTAGAAATTGTTTCTTACCGCGTCTAGTTACTTCTGTCTAATTCTTGATACTAGAAACATTGTTGCAGTTGTAGTCCCTGTGCCCTTTATTGTCAGGAGGTCAGGATTCAAAAGTTGTCTCAGGACTCTAGGTAAATCAGTCTCTGGAGATGAATTTGTGAGACACATAGTTCCAGGTTATTTCAAGTGGGGTTCTCTGCAACGACCATTTTGTACCACCAGATACCTGAATCAGATCAGTATTTTTTATAATGTAGCAAAAAAAAATATTGGTATTCAACCTTTAAATTTTTACCACTTGTGTCAGTGGGATTTATGTCAAGTTTAGTTTCTTCTTTTCCAGTACAGAATGTAAACTGACACTTCTGTTAGCACAGCAAACCAGTGATCGGTATCCATGCCAGGTGAGCATTTTAATCATTCACGTAATCCTACACCTTTTTCTTGCCCTGTACAAGCTTTCTTCTGTCTTCCCCATACAAACTTTGCATTGTTTGCCTTCTCTCTGGTTCCATGAAGCTTACTTTTGTGTCTGATAGTGGCACAACTTCAAGAGGAGGAATGCGGAGGCTATCTGACCTGTCTGTCCTTTTCTAAACCCTCTCTGTAGAGTAAATTACTGTCCTCGCAAGAGGCAGATGTGGATTTGTCAACTAGTATAATGTTTTCACTAGCAAAAAAGATAAGCAAGATTCAGAGATCAATTTAATGCAAAGTTTTATTTGCTGTGCTTTATCTTTAGAATCCCAACAAGTCATGCTGTCACCAAAATATGAAGCTTTACAGTATTTTCAATTTAGAGCAATATTTTCTCAGATAATTTGAAAATATTGGTTAGAGGTTGCTTTGAAGATAACAGTCTTAAAGAAGAATAGTGATTCCAAGGTTGTGTTGCTTTTTTGGTTGTAGACTCCCCACATCTTCTGTGGATTTCCATGAATTTTTCATGGACTACAGCTCCCTCTTACCATTAGAATTTCAGGTGCAAATGGAGTAGTTTCCATGGACCTGCTACAAGCCATGCACTACAGACTCAATCCATGGACTGCAAGTTAGCATTTGGCATTGTACTAAAACTCCCAGTCTGTTCTGCAGTGGGGGCCAAGCTTCATGGAAAATCCTCCCTCATGCTTGTGTCTACATATTTGCCATCCTATTAAAGATATATTGCTATTTTTAGTAGAACATAATTTAAAATGAGATACAAAATCTATATTAAAAAAATTGTAAAATTCTAAAGCTACATTGTCAGCACTGAAAGTATTTCTGATATTTGAATTATCTTTTAATTCTTATTATATATTTTCCAATCTTCCAGAAAACCTTAGTGTTGTTTTAACTGCCTTTTCAATTGAAATGGTCTTTTAATTGGCTGGAAATATATCCTAAGTTTGATTCTGTTCCAAACACTTGTTCAGCAAAACAACTGATGATTACCCACTTCTGGAACTGAGCTTATTACAAGAAAAACATCAATGAACCTTCTGTGGAATTTTTCAAGATTTTTGGAGAGGAAATGCAATATCCTCTTTGTAGTACAGAGTGAACAGATATTCTAGTCCCAGATTTGTTACCAACTTTGCAGTGTAACTTTGGACAAGACACTAAATTTTTGCTTCCTGTTTTTTTGCTTTGTAAAGGAAGCTAATATTAACATGCCATCAAATATTTTAACAAGTTTGAGTGAATGCTTGCAAAGTACTCTGAGAAAGTCAGATGGAAAATGTTATGGAAGTCCATGCCTCTGCTAACCAAAGAGGATATTTACAGTAGATTCTTATTCTATGTAGCAAAATAAAAATGTTGAAGTATATAGCCAGATGAGACCAAGATGGATCTAAAATTAAATGCAGGAGAATTTTTTTTTACCTTTCAACAGAAATTATATAACCACTCTTAGGTTATAAATAGTCCTTTGTTTTCCTTCTCTTTGTCTAATACTCGGAAGAAACACAGGGTTAGTTGTTTGTTATGAAGATACAGTGCAATGCTTTAGAGTGGAAACAATTGTGCACTGTTCTTTATTCATGCAGTTCCTATAATGTTTGTAAGTACCATTTGTTGCATTGCTTAGCACTTTTTTTATCTTCAAAAAGCTACGGAAATAAAGTTTCTAGTTTTGGAAATTACAACAGCAGAAGAAAACAAAAACACACACCATTTCAATCCTGAATGTTTCTTTCTTCTTTCCTGGTTTGATATGTGACTGAAGAACAAAAAAGACAGTCCCAAACTCTTGTCAAACTGACACATAAACACTCACATATTATTTCCTACTTTTATTATTAATCCTAAGAAATAAGACATTAATTGTGTCCCCCTTTAAATTAAAGTATTTATATTAGCATTAAGGAAAACAATACTGAATTCTTCACAGAATGATGTGTTGTGTTTACAAATATTTCCTTCAACAACCAATAAGTGCTTAACTAGTAGCAGTTTAATTTCATGTTAAAAAAAAAAAAAGCTTTAACAAACAGATACGACCTGAAAATTTAGTCTGAAGTCAAGTAATTGGCATCAGTCAGAAAGCAGAATTATAAGAATATCACCTTTTCCTTACTTTTTTTTCTTACTTTGTATGATTTCTCTCATGTTCGTATTATGGAAATAATTTCCTTGACCTTTAAATATATGTGATGCAAATGGCTTTATTAGGCACTGCATTTTGTTTCATTTAAATTTTTAATCACCTTTTGAACCCATTCATTTGCTCCATAACTTTCCACTGAGAGCAAGTGTGATTCCGAACAGTAAATTGGAATAAATTGGCTGCAGCGAAGAATACATGATTAGGCTTCAGAAATAAAAGGAATCACAGTTTAAAAACCAGGTACAGTGCAGTACTGTCCAATCTCTGCAGGCTATTTAGAAATGCACTGGAGACTGATCAAGCCTTGACTGCTTCAGAACTGAGGCCAAAGGTGACCAGTCCTGAAGTGACACTTCAGCTTAACTCCCATTTCCCATAGCTATGCTGAGAAAACCTGTCATATTACATGTAATCCAACCCTCTGACTTTAAGCAAATTAAACACTTGGGATCAAACACACATATAATGTAAAATTATGAATTTAACAGATTATACCAAAGATTGGCTTTTTTTCTCAGCGTTATGTTATTTGATGGCTCTTTTGTGTAGTGATTTGTGGATTTATGTAGCAGTTTAGTGGTCCTGATGACTTCACTCTATTAAGTCTGAAAATCTTTCTCCATTCTGTATTTCAAATGTCTGTAGTGATTTAATGTAACTAATCCAACTGACTGAGGAAAGAAAGTTCTCTCTCCATGACAACTGACTGCATTTTGGGTTTCTTTGCTGAAGCTGTCAACAGGAGACCAACTAATGCCAAATTTGATACCATTTCTATAAAGTAGGCACTTGTCTACAAGGAGCTGGATTGGGGCCACTTACCTAAAGTTATTCTAGGGCAGGAATTTATCTTTAGATGCTACTGCTGATGCCAGATTTTTATTAGCAATCTTCTAATTAGTAAGACCTTCTCTTGAAATAAAAATAAAATTACTGACTCCAGGTTTCCTGTAAATAAAACCTGTGATGCAAAGCTCTTATAAGCTGAAGTTATTATATTCATCATGTAGTAAAAAGTATAGCCAAGCATAAGCATGCCATACTTCAGGTGTTGTTAAGAGTAGAGATGCCTGTAGAAACATTAGCAGTTCTCTCTCTTCATTTGAGTGATTACCTCAGCATAGCAGAGGAACAATAAACAGGCCTTAAGCTTCTGCTGAAAACAGCAATAATTGCTAAGGAAAAGGAGAATTCTAAGATGAGGACTCCCCTAGCTGAACTCCATTCTTGCTTCTCTCAGAGATTTACTGTGTGACCTCAAGTTAGCTATTTAACAACCTTGTGCCTATAATCCTGTGTATAAACTTAATACATTCATTCTGCTCTACCCTGGAGAAAGACATGGACCTCGACTTGCTTGTGTTTGAAGGGAAACTGAGATTATTGCATTAACGGTGCCATATGTTGTGAACTTGTGAGTGAGCACTAGGACATGTGGTGTGGACACGGTCCCAAAGCAGCATTTGCGAAGATAAATGTTATCTGCATGAATGGCAATACAAAGCAACAACTGTGGGCAGTAAATTACATTCCAGCCTACTGTTCTGGGGTTTGCAAGTGCTTGGGCTCCTGTGTAACTCTAATCAGGTGGAGAGAGCATGTCCCAAAGCACAGTGCTGTCGTCACTGCCACACATTCATGTCCTCCAGCCTGCACTCTGCCTTCCTGTCCTTCGCCCTACTACGTGCAGGTATTATTTTGTACGCATTGAGGCCCCAGTTTTGCAGCCTCGTGGCCATTCCAGGCCCGGCGACTGAGGCACCAGGAGCCCCTCGGAGCGCCCGTGCGGAGGGGCGGCAGGCGCAACCCCCCCGCGCCCCCTCGGCCCCGCAGCACATTGGCTGCGGCGGCGGCCGCCCCGCCGGGGTGGCCCGCGCCGGGGCATGCCTCTGACCTTCCTTCCCTTCCCTTCCTTCCCGGCCGCTGTTAGAAGCGCGGATCAGCGGCGCGGTTGCTGCGATGGAGCGGGAGCGGCAGCGGCGGCGCGCCAGGAGGGGAAAGGAGGAGGAGAGAAGGAGGGAGGAAGAAGGGAGAGATTAGCGCGGTGCCGGCTGGCGCAGAGACGCGGCTGAAGCGCTCCAGCGGGAGCCCGGGGCCCTGCGGACCGTGCGAGAGGCAGAGGCGGAAGGAGCGGAGATGCGGCCGCTCTCCCCGCGTTGCTGAAGCTCCCGGTGACCCGCCCGGGGGAGGGAGGCCGGGAAGGTCCGTCCTTCTCACTGCTCTGCGGGCACAAAGGGTGCCTGTGCAGTCCCCTCCTCTTGGTTTTACCCAGCCCCGGAGCAGGAGCCGCCGCCGCCCCCTATCCCTTCTTGCGCTCTTCCCACCATGAGCGGGGCTGTTTTCACCTTATAAAGATGGCGGTGTGGGATCGCTGCAACCTTTAGACTAATGACTGTCAGAAACATCGCCTCCATCTGTAATATGGTGAGTGCTGGCGGGGGCCGGGCGGCACGGCAGCCCCGAGGGGGCCGACCGAGGGGGACTGCCCCAGGAGCGCAGCCAAACGGAGGGACCCTGTCCCTTGCCCCCGTGGCGGGGGAGCCGGGCAGGCTGCGCCGGGACGTGCCTGGGGTGGAGTTGGCCGATGGAGAGTGACGATGTCCAGAGGACTTTTCCCGGCGCAAGACCGGGCGTGGGCCGGGGAGGGACGGAGATGCAGAGCCGGTGCGGGGTCGCCCGGAGCGGGATGCGTTGCAGACGGAGCAATGGCCCACCCTCTCTTCTCCTGCACTTCCTCCTGCCTTTCCTCTTGCCTTAATAATCCTGCGAAAGGACCCAAGTTTGGTTGGGAATCCACATTAAATCAGTGACCCCGTTTAACCCTCTCAGGCAGGCACCCTATGGTCTCATGGGGCCAAGAGCTCCCCAGGTTACACAAAAAACGAATAACACCCCTTTGGATCCAAATGCTCTGGATCTGTTCTAGAAAGTCTTAGCTTAAGAGCTGACAGGGTTTAACTTGCACTGCATGCCACTCAAAGAGGACTGCTGTTTGTTAAGTACTCTTCAATCACTTAGCTTTCTCTAAACCAGACTATGCAACTAGGAAAGAATAAGGAAACATTAACATTTTTGTTTGTTATGTTCAGACTTTCGTACTTTCCATCCCCTGAAAGGTTGCTTTCTGCACTGTGCTTGGGTTTCATTTTAATCCTAACAAACTTTGAGCATCTGGTTGGGTTTAGGTTTTTGAAAATTCTTGATGGGAAGAGGAGGAGCTCAAACTTTGTTAAAGGTTTATTAATACAGCAAAACAGTAGCAAACTCACGAAAGAACCGGTTGTGTGCAAGCACCCCAATGCAAACAGAAGAGAAGCCTGTTTCTGTACATTTTTTTGTTTTAGTCTGTATTTTTCCCCCTTATTTCCAGGTTCTTCAAGAGCAGCTACACGCAGTTGCCAGCTTCCCTCCATGTGGTGCCCCAGCATGCCTTGTGCTGGTGATGCCACACATACCATTCATCTGCCCTGGAGAATGGAGCCTACCTCTAGGGTAAGGCAACAGGCACAGCCCCAGAGGCCTGGCTCCTGTGGGGTCAGCAGCAGTGGTCTGGGGGAGGGAGTGCAGATTGCAAGCCTGCTCCCCCTCCCAAATGTCCACACTTCTACTTAAATGGGCTTGCTCTTTCATTTCTAACCAGATGCCTGGGACATCCCATGCATAGTTTTGACTTAAGCCTCAGTCTTCCCTTTGAAATGCCTACTCTGAAATGCAGACAGGAAGAGTTGGTTCTGGGGTTAAAAAAAAATTAATACAACATCCAGATTTGGGGTAAAATAATCTGGATTCTCATCTTTCTTCACCAACAGTAAATAGTTCTTTGAACTTTTCATTGTTCTTAATGATTACCAGTCCAATGGGCGAGGACACTGAAAAGAGAGGCTTAGGAAACAGTACAGGACTGAGGAGAAAACCTGGGCACACTTACCTTCCTTCTGAGGCAGGCTCCAGTTTTTACTGCTGATTAATGGTCAGTGTGATGCCCTGCAAACTGTATAAAAGAGCACCGCATGAAGGGGAGCTGGAGACTCATAGGTGGTTGAAAGACATTAACACTGGCATGAAGTACTAGGAACTCCATGGTTTTTTCATGTGCTTCAGACAGATGCACTTGTATGCAGTATGCTTCTCTCAAAGACTGAACAGATTCATAGCAAAACTGATGAGGTTGTTCTAATGGTGTGCTGCTCAGCTGTCACTGCCAGTATATCTTGCAAAAGTAGCATCTGAGAAATGGAGAGACTGAAGGGAAGAATGAGAGCCTCAGGCAGAAAAGGCATACAAGAACTCATACTTCAAGGCAATTCTAGCTCGTGGTACTGTGACAGAAGGTGAAGTTGTTCTAATGATAATGATGTTTTTAGGCTACATGTTCCTTTGGGTCTGTGTACTTAGCTTTTAAAGATGCTATGTTGTGTTGGTCACATTTAGTCTATTCTGGATAATCCACAGGGATTGGAAGTTCTTTTAGGCAAAAAGTGGAGATTTTCACACAGCTACAAAAATTTGGGGCTGTAAGAGAAATAGAAATTCATGGAAGCATTGACAACACTGCATTATGGTTTGTCCAAAAATGTGTCCACTTAGGTCAGGTGGTGGATTTGAGCTTGGTTTGTAGGAGGAGCTACAACCACATTCCAGAAGGCTAGAGGTATGAAAGTAAACCTTTTGCCTGTATAAAACCTGAATATTTGCAGTGCTAGTTTGATTTAGGGCATCTGTGGAAATCTACCATACAAAGATTTTAATTCCCAGACCTTGTTGCTGCACTATAATATAGTACTTGAAAAACTGAGCTATTACAGTTTGTGGACTAAGAAATGGCTGTATAATTCTTAGGTAATATAATATATATATAAAATATATATATAAAATTAAAAAAATATATAATATTATATATTTTTGTATATAATGCTGCTTGTTAGTATATTTTTAAGTTTTTTAACCTTGTTGAACTTAATAATGAAAAAAAGTGTCAAGGTCTTCTTTATCTTTTCTCATTCCCATTCCACTTCAGAGTGTTCACAGAGATTTTTTTCTTAATTTTTGCAAAAAAAAAAAAAAAGATGATGCCTGGTTGATTTTCTGATTGGGTGGGGGAAAGTATGGAAAGAGAGACAGAGGGAGCAATTGGTCCTGAAATACTTGTCCCTCTCTGAATGCAACATAGATTATGTTTTCAATGGTAGTCCTTTTGACAGAGCTTCTTGTGTGTTTGTCCAAGTGCTTTTGTGTCCTAAGGGAAAAAATAGCTGAATTTTGGCTTAATTAATTACTAATTTAGCTCAAGAGAACCTGTCTAGTCAACATTTTAAGATACACATTTGCTATTTAATTGACTGCCTAATGTTTGGTATCTTGGGTTGCAATTTTGATCTCCTGAAGATGGTAGTGATGGTTAGTCTTTTTAGGAAGGATCAAAACAGGTGTAGTGGAGCAAGGAAGCCAAGGACAGTATTTAACTTCCTTACAAAAGAGATTTAGTACTATATATTCACTGGATAAGCTCTCATATGCTGAGACAGACACAGTAGGAGCTAACCAAGAAGGAAAAAATATTTGGGGCAAATTTCCACTTAGCGCATTTACTTGTAGTAAATATTTAAGTGCACAACTTTCTAGAATTAAACAAAATTCCTTTATTGGCTTTTACCAATTTTATTCCCTGAATTTTAATAATAACAATAGTACTAGTTATTATGCACTGATTTACCTAATGAGATGTAAGAGGTAAAACTTGTTCTGGGGGTGGAGGGGATGAAGGCAACTATGCCTGAAGGAATCAGTGGGACTCTGTGTGGGCATGATGGCCATGCTCGTTGAAAAGGGAGGTCTAGTTCCCAAGATGTTAATTTTACCTGCCTTTCAGACACTGTAAAAGCTTCTTCACTCTGTCTGCACACCATGTTCACCAGAGGGATGTATACAATAGGCAGTTGTCACCTTTTATGTAGGATAGGTACAATAGATGTGAAGAAGCATAAGATACACTGGAGAAACCTTATCTGAGGGAACACCAACGTCCAGTGCCATGTAACGCTTGAAGACACCAAATAGGGATGTGATTTACCCCCTACAGTGCTGTAATCCTCTTTGGTTATTGTTTCTGTGATGTAACCAGACAACTCCACTATAAAATACTGGTTCAAAGGTGGATAGGCATGCTGGCATTTTAAGGCTGTTTCTTACTGAAATACTCTGCAGTATGTTTTTCTGTTGATGAGCTTTAGGTACAACCTTGAGTTCTGAGTTAAGCTCATGCTGCAGCTGTGGCCTAGGGATCTTATTGTTACATGCAGTGAAGGACATCTAATCATTTCAGAATGTATTGACATATATTTTTACAGATCTGGCTAACAAGCTCTGTGAATCATATTTTTCTCTTTTAGAATTCAGTTGAGAACAGGTATTAACCCCTCCTTTCATAATTTTGTAAGAGTGTTTCAAATAATCCAATCTGCACTTCAAACTGTTCTGTCAATTTAATAAATGGGTTATTCTGAACACATTCAGATTGCTTTTGATTCGAGGTATCATCTGAGAAGCCCTGTAGTCCCTGCATTCTGGAAACAAATAAGAATAAATGTTGGATTTTTTTGTTTGTTTGTTTTAATAGCACGATTTTAGAGACTCATTGCAGAGTTTGTTTAAATATAGAGCACTGGCAGAATGAAGACTCAAGTCTACAAACATGGATTTGGAAAATGCTTGACATAAAAAAATTTACAGTTTTAATGCTGTGAAAATAGTAATATTCTGCTTCATATAATAAGAATGGTATTGGGTTATAGAATTGATCACTTTGACTTTCAACTGGATTTATTAATTTGAACAATCTGCAGTGTGTATTTCTTCATGTTTTTTACATCTTCTCATAAACAGAGATAAAGGCAAAATAATACATACCAAGACAGTAAAACAGCTATCTGAAGGCATATTTAGATTGCTAAAGGAAAACCAATCTGCTAAATCTGTAAAAAAATTAGTTACAAAGAGTTCAGGCAAAGTAATCTTAGAAGCATAGTCTCAAGACTGCACAATTTCAGTATGACATACATATAAAATATAGAAAAAATATGAAAAGTACAGAGAATATGAAGTCTAATTATTGTAATACCTTTCTGAAGTAATGAGAAACTTGAGAGTATGGCTGACAAACAGGTACTAGTCTGACGAGCAGAAAATATGCGTTCCATCAAAAGTTAAACAGATATCCACAAAAGATGTTTTTTCATTGGATAGAGTCGGATGTGCAAAATGAGAAACATGAAAATACATCATTTTCAATGGATAACCTGGAATAACGGCTGAGCTTGTCTTCCATGAATACCTTTGTTATGATTAAAGTGGTTATTACACACTTACTAGCTTTGGCTGGTAAGTAGTAGTCTTTGGCTTCATGTTGCTGAATGAAGAGTCAACCAGAGGTTATGCTAAATACCTGAATAAAGGAACCTCTTAATTACAGCTCAGTAAGTGTCGAGGTTGACAGCAAGCCTGTCAGCAGCCTGGCATTTATCGACAAAGCAGTGGACATAAACCAGATTACAGTATACCCCTGAAAGGAGGACAACACAGCATGCAGAAGAATGTGGGCAACTTTCAGACAGGAAGAAGATGGAAGACAGAAATGGACTTCCTGTACTTTCTGCAAGTCAGGATGACTCGACAAAAGCTATGTTTACTAGTTTGCAACCAATCCTGGTGTGTGTATACATGAAAGTACCAATAGCAGGATGACATGTGTATAGCCTGATGTATGTTTACATGGAAGGCAGCAATAGAAAGTTGACACGTGTGATATGTGAAAAGTATAAATGTTTCAACCTGTTACAATAAAGTGATTACAGCCTTCTTGTAATCCTGTCCCTGCTTTGGAAGAAGATTCTATGTTACTCTGCCCATCCCGACTTTAACAGCGACAAGTAAGGCTGAATGAGTCTGAATTGTGGAAAAGATGAGATTAAAAGCAGACTCTGGACCCTGATTAACTGTGTGTGGTGGGCAAATGCCATGCAGGAGGTGAGGTTCTGATGGATATGAAGAGTCACTGTCTGGAGTATGACTCAGTTTGAGACAATTTGGAGGGGCAGAGACCTCATACAGAAGTCTCCTCCCTTGAATTTAATACCCCTGTTTTCTCCAATATATATGGAGAGACCAAATATGCCCAGATGTAAGTGAAAAAAATAACTCTTTACCAAGAAGAATGCTGATAACTATACTGATAAAAGTGGGTTAAACCAAACGGTGAGGAGAAACTTTCCAAGCTCTGCCCATTGGACCAAATCAAAATGGCAGCCGGCCTTCCCCACCCAGAGAAAACACACCTGGCCACAGGACAGAGAAAAGATAGCTGCCCTTCCAAGTGATTTTCCTCCCCCACACTCAGAAAATTTGGCAGGAAAGGTTGGAGAGTCAGTGCTGGCAGGAAATGGCAGATGCTTGTGTGGCCCTGGAGTGAGGCTGCGGTGCTGGTACGGGCAGTTGAA